AGCAGTAGGTCCCTCTTTCGATAGTAAATAAAGTTTTTTCTTGATCCTCTGGTTCCATTTTGATCTGGTTGTATCTCGAGTATGCATCCAAAAAGCTTAATAATTCGTGACTAGCTGTGGAACCTATGAGTTTGTCGATATTTGGTACGGGAAAGCAATCCGTTGAGCATGCTTTGTTCAGGTCTTTATAGTCGATGTACACTCTCCATTTTCCGTTCTTTTTGGGAACCACCACGATATTTGCTAGCCATTCCGGGTATTTCACCCCGCTGATAAAGCCATTGTTGAGTAGCATGGTGACTTCTTCCTCCACCGCTCGGGCTTGTTTTGGCCCAATGTTTCTTTTATTTTGCTTCACAGGTTGGTGGTTTGGATCTGTGTTCAATTTGTGCACCATGATATCCATAGGGATGCCTTTCATATCTGCATGAGACCAAGAGAAATATTCCAAATTATCTTGTAGAAATTTAATTAACTTATGCTTCTGCTTGGGAGTCAATCCCGAGTCGATATAGACCTTTCTTTCCGGCCAATGAATACAGAGAATCACTTCTCTATTCCTCCACCGTTGGTGAGGCGGGCTTGATGATTCTATCAGGATGGGGGCCTGTTCCATTGATGTTAGCTACACTCTCACCTTCCTGTAGTTGCTATTTGACAGTTTCCTCGTTGGAGATACTGCTTGTGGCTGCAATTGAATTGAATTTTGGGGATGCCCTTTGTTCTCCTTAGATTTGTCATATCCCCCATTTGGACGGGAATTTTATCACCTGGTGCACAGTTGAAGGCACCGTGATCTTGTGAATCCATGGCCTTCCTAGGATGGCGTTGTAAGCCATATATCCTACCACAACTTGGAACGGGGTATCCTTGGTTAACCATTCGGCGTTGGTCAGCGACATCACTTCCCCACGAGTCATCTCACTAGAGTTGTTCAACCCGTGAGCTCCATTTCTTCGACCACCCGTGTCTGGATGATGTTGGCTGAACTTTCTGGGTCAACAAACTCTTCTCACGTCAAGATAATTTTTTTTAAAGTAACTACCAGGGCGTCGTTGTGTGGCATGGACAATTTGCGCGCATCCTCATCATCGAATGTTATGCTCTCTCCAATTAGTGTCTGTCGAGTGCAGTTCTGGTTGAGAAATAGATATTTTTGTAAATTTATTTGCTACCATGAAGGTGAATTTGTTTATTTCTCCTCCTCCGAAGATAACGTTGACGATCCGTATAGGATTCGGAACCTTTGGTAGCTCCTCCTTGTTCTGATTTTTCATGTATGACAACTTCGTCTTCTCACTGAAGAGTTCCATTAAGTATCCCTCCTTGAGTAAACGATCGACTTTGCCTTCAATGAGTCTGTAATCTGAAGTCTTATGGTTGTGATCATTATTGAATTCGCACCAAAATTCCTAGCTTCGCTTGCTTAGATCAGAGTTCATCTCTTTCTGCTATTTCTTTGTCTCCCATATCCTTATGTTCTGCTACTAACTCCGTCATGTTCACGCCTAAGCCATAGTCGGCGAGTTATGATCTGGAGCGATAATCACTAATTCTGGGCGTCTCTGATTCTTTTCCAGGCCTGTGCATGGGTGGCTCATCTCTTCGGCCGGAATTCCTGTCTTCACGTGTATACCTTGGTCAATCTCATGACGTATGGGTTTGGGGTACGGTTCGTGCAATATTCTGGAATCCCGATACCTAGGTTCAACTTGTATGCCGGTTCCTCCCAGTCGGCGATCATATCTGTGGGTATCTCTCACTTCGAATCGGCGGAGCATCGAGATATATTCTTATATCTGTAGGAGCTTTGTAATGTATCGATTCCATGTCTTTGCAGGAAATTCTCGGAGGCTTTCCTTCAGTCTTCGCGAGGACTTTGAACTGTTCGAGTTCAGATTCCTGGAGAATGCCATACCCGCCCAATTGTCTTCAACTTTCGGGGGCAACATCCTTTCTCTCTAGAATAGGTCAATGATGTCCGGGAGTGACTCTGTCCACCTTTGTATAATCTTGAAGATATTTTTCACTTGTTTTTCCACCTTTTGCTCCCGAATGGGCTTTGATGAAAGCAACTGCAAATATAGCAAAAGAACTATTAGAATGTCCAGGTGAATACCAGGTTAAAACTCTTTTTTAAAGCGTCTCCCCAATTTTTTTGACGAGCACCGATCCGATCTCTTCCTTCATGAGGTTGTTCCCTTTGATTCCAGTTATATACTCCATGATGTGATCATGAGGATTCCAGTACCATCATATTTTGGAATATCAGGCATTATAAATTTCTTCGAGATCGGTATGGGGGCCGCATTGGGCTTCCACGACTGTTGCAAATACTTGTTCACATCTATCCCTTTAACGATCAGTGGCATTCCAAAAAAAATTTCAATTCTTTCATTTTTTTTCCTTGAGTTGCTTCTACAAGGTTAGAATATTATCTTGCCATTCAGTAGATAAAGCCATACCTGAGCACCCGGCTCCGGCTTCTCTCAAAAGCTCTCAGGTTTCTGTGTGAGCCATTTTGGAATTGGGGGTTCCATCATCAGCGTCTATCCTTGGAGGTGGGGTTGCCATCATTACCGTTTCTCCACTCGTCCATACCTTCAAGGCTTATCCAATTTGAGCATTCAACTTCTACTATTTTGACATGAAATTGTCCACTTTCTTTTCTAGCCCTAGAATATCAGGATAGTCGCTATTGGATCTAGCTGGTGACTCATTTCGTCCGTGAAGGAGCGTAGTTACGGTAGACTGATCATCCAAAGTTCGGGTTCCTTCAGATCGTTACCGTTTGTCCAATTACGGGAACATTGGGTTGCTCATTGGTTCCGGACATGGTGTTCTCCTTGCAATAAACACAAGAAAAGTAAAGTTAGACGAGACCATTAACGTAACAGAGGCTGTGAATCAAACTTTTAATTGCCAAGGCCCCGCGGTGGACGCCAAACTATTTGACCTAAAAACAGATTTTGAGATTAAATAATTAAATTTGTATTTTTATGGGCCACTAGCAATTTATTTGATTCGAAACGGTTGCAGATAATGAATAAAGACAAACAAGAAATAACGAAATAGATTAAAAAGAATGATACAACGGACAAAATTCTTCTCTATTTTCAATCCCGAATGATATCGATCGCGAGTATGATTGAATTACAAAGCTTACTCAGGAAAAGGGTAGAACAAGATGATATTTTGTTTCAGAGAGAGTTTTTCATTTAATTTTCAATGATCCCTCCTTGGAGAATTGAGGCGACTTTTATAGCGGTAGGAAGAGAACTACCATTCCAAATTTCGAGCAAGTACACTAGTGGATTAAGTAGTGGGGAGCGGGATCCTCGATAATGGCTTCCATTTTGGCATAACGTTGCTACTACAAATAAGATTGACTGAGTTTTCAAATTTCACCTTTTGAATACTTGACCCTTCGATAACCATAATCTTAGAATCTTACGAACTCAGCAGCGGGTCCCATCACTTGATTTCTATATCTTAATTTCCACGAGGGACTTTTCGATCACGCCACGTGGAGAGGATACGTAATTTTTACCCATACAACATCTATTTATGTATGCTTGTGAGAAGATAAACATGCTTTGCGTAAGAATACATAATATTGTAGTTGATTATGTGTATTAGAATAAATGTGTGTGTGAAACGCATATATCTTGCATTAATGCGATGGCCAATAAATTTTTATCACTAGATTAGGGTGTATAAGTTTCACATATAAATAATTCTCAAAATAGCAAAAATTACCTTAAAACATGAATAAGAATATAATTGATTAACATTATCTCAATAAGAGTACACGAAATAATAAAAATTATAAAACTTAGAAGTCTCCTACGTAAAGTAAGACGCCTTACTTGAGTAAATAAAATAAAAATATCTTTTTAATATAAATAAAAATTCGATAGATTGTTAGTGCAACTTTGGATGTATATTCTCAATGAGAAAATTTTAGAGCCGTACAAATGCTATAACAATTTTAAAATTTTTATAGCAATAAAAATGTCATGGCATATCTAAAATCACATTTTTAAAAATATTATTTTTTATTAAATTTTATGCCAAGTCAAGCTATAAAATGAAAAAGATGTATTAATTAATATTTTTATTCTAAAACTTGTAGTTGTATACTCCCTCTATCTCATTTAATTGTCGCTTTAGCTAAAAGAAAAACTTATACTTGTATATTCCCTCTGTCTCATTTTAACTGTCGCTTTAGCTAAAAAAATTATCCCAAAATAATTATTACTTCAGGAATTCTAGAATAAGTTTATTAATTATTTTCAGTTATATCTTAATAAATAAATAAAAAGTTGTGATCTTTTTAATACCGTTAAATTCTCAAAAAATATTTAATAAGAATTGTTTAGTAAAGTTTATTTTGTATTTGTTATTTTCTTAATGAATTGTGAAATCTATATCTATATATATATTAAAGAAAAGAAGTTTGCCTTAAATATATGCCAAATGTCAAATTATTATAATGCCAATTGGCAACATATTTAAATGACAAGTGGAAAGTAAATATATTAAGACTTATCAATTTCCTATAAAGATGCATATGTCATATAGAATTCTATAATTATGGCAAAAAAAAAAAAACAAGACAAATCCATCGACATTTATGGATATAAAAAGCTATAGGAATTACTTTAACAAAAAGGAAGATGAAACAAATCCATCGACATTTATGGATATAAAAAGCTATAGAAATTACTTTAACAAAAAGGAAGATGAAATAAATAAAGCTATATGAACTGTTAAAAAAAGGAAAAGAGTAAATTGCTCTTTCTTACATTAAATAACGATAATTTAAAATAAAATGAAAACCCAATATTCTGTACTAAAAACAAGGATATATATTATATATTATAATAGGGTTTTTGGTGAGACTCAAAATGACCCAATATTCGGTCACCAGCATACATTACGCCTCAAAATCTGGAGAAGCACCAATTACGCCTTATCATCTTCGATCTATTCTGTCCGAAATTCCCCATTTTCTTCGCTTCATCTACGCCGAAAAATATTGAGGGAATCTTGATCTCCCTATACAAATTAGGAATTTCAATTAGCTTAACCCTAACCCGAAAAATAAGATCCCTAATTTTGTTGGATTTGGATACAGAGGGAGAAATAGAGACATTCAAATGTGAAATTAGTCCATCGCAAGGAGACATTCAAATTTGAAGATGATTTTTCCGATCGTTTGTTCTCATCTCTTTCGCATCGCTTCTGAAGACGACGACATCTACGCCAGGTATTTCGGATAACAACTAACTGTGGAATCCGATTTTATGGAAAATATATTTTTCGATACAAAAATATTCGCATTCCGTATATTTCGAAATATATATATATATATATATATGAACTGGAATTTGAAGGTACGAATAGTGAGATTGTGGCACGTTCCCGACCGCGACAAACCAGACAACACCGTCTCCTTGAATTAATATTCAAGACAAAAGGTGCATTCTTTTTGAAAAAAACTTATTTTTTCATAAAAGTTTGAGTACAATCTCATATTCTGCTTCAAACTATAAGCATTCTTTTTGAAAAAAAATTATTTTTTGATACAAATTTGACTACAATCTCATATTAGTCTTCAAACTAAAAAATTCATTATGTTATTAATTATGAATTTTTGGATTCTAGGGCGATCGCATTCATGCGACTGTTGGTCGGTCACTTATACGTATGTTCAAACCAAAGTTAAAAGAATTGGGTTTGTACGTTATGAAGAACTTTGTGGTTGGACCAAATTATACAAAACTTAAATACACGCGGCATAATTTGAAGTTTGCATTTACTCATAAGACAATTGTAGAGGAAGCAAATGATCATCTTTTTGGTATGACTATCTTCGACTTAAAACCTTATGAGTATTTGATAAACAAAATTGATGTTGAAGAAAGTGAACTTTTCGGTAAGTATTCAGTTCGCAGTTCTTTTATTTGAATGTCTTATAAACTTTCTCCTGATTATTTTTTTAAATTATTATAGATATCATTGGAGAGGTTGTAAGTTATGGTGAGGTAGAATCCCATACCCAAGGTGATAAAACCATCAATTATATGCATGTGGAACTTGAAGATCATGAGTAAGATTGCGTCTATCAATTTACTTTGTTATATATTTTAACATCATTACTTATCGTTGTCTGATTAAATTGTTATATATTAATATGATTATAGACGTAGTCTAATTTATTTCTTATAAGGAGGAATAATATCTCTGCAACATTTTGGGGAGAATTCGTTGACCAAATCTTGCCACATTTACAGGGATCACCCCATCAGCCGGTCATAATTGTTATGCAGTTGATAAAAGCGCACAAATTTCAAGGTATTTCTATTGTACTGATGTTATTTGATAATATATTTATGTTAAGTTTTTGTTTCAAAAATTAAAGTTATATATAGGCAAATATTCTGTGCGTAATACTTGGCATGCCTCAAAGCTCTGGATTAACCCGGATCTTCCTCAAGCTAATGATTTTAAGTCCAGGTTAGTTATTTCATAAATTAAGTTTTGCTGGATACTACACAAATAACTATTTATTGTTATAAATAATACAAGACTTGCGTAAATACACGAATGACAAGTGTGAATGAAAGCTAAACTCTAGCCACGGATCAGTCAAATACCTTCTCAGCGTAGTTATTCTGTTTCTGATGAGTTGGGTAATGGAACTGTAGAAGTTAAGACTATTAGCGAATTGGTCGACTGCATGGAGGTGACAAATCTATTAAACTCATTTAGTGTTTAACTAATGTTATGTTGTGTATCTATAACACTGTTATTTATAAAAAATACTATTTGTGGTTGTTTTAACCTCTGAAAAAAATTGTGTACAGTTTTCAGAATACATAGACGGGCAAAGGATTGAAGTATGTTTATAAAACTAAGATTTAACTGATAGGAAATGAGAGGATCAAATCAAAGGAAAACATTTATATAGGGGATTGAATACTACATAGCATATGCAGAGTGTACAGCTCTCTAAGAGCCTTAGTTTTGAAATGTGATAGCCTTTAAAGTGATTCCTACAGGTTTATAGACTTGATTATATGTTACGATTGGCTTCTTCTTGTTCTTGATTTTCTTTGGCATAATTATATTTTTCATTGGTAAGCCTATTAAAATGTACCTTGAGATTGTAGTGAAGCAATCTGAATTTATATATGTTGCTGTTTTAGTAATTTTGTCAAATTTGATTTGCTTATAATATATTACATATTTTCTGGAAATGACATAATTGTGTGAGTGTTAGTTGTAATAAAATGACTTATTTGTTTTCTACGCCATGTGCATATATATGTTTTTTTTGGAATACCTGTTAAGTAAGTTTATGAGCATTTTACAATCTGAAACTTCACTAATAAAAAGTTTCAAGTTAACAAAACTTGAGCAACTACAAGGCCATGTTAATGTAAAGAAATTCAGCAAGCATTGGATACAAAAATTCACACTTTCTTTACTGTTGTTGGGTATTAACATCTGAAATCTTCCCCTTATGACTTCTTTTCAGGAAGGACATATTTGGATTGTTGCGACTGTAGTGAATCTTCTACTTGAAAAAGAATGGTCATATTTGGGGTGCAAGAGATGCTCGAAGAAGGTTGACAAAATTGGAAGTAAATTTCACTGCAAGAAATGTGATCGCCTTGATAGTTTTGGCACTCATAGGTTTGATAATCTTAACTATTTACTGTGAAAGAACTAAAGTTGCAAGTTACAAAAATAAGGACAAATTTTGTTATCAAATATTAAATAAACTAAAGTTTCAATACATCATATCTAAACGTGTTTTTCAGGTAGAAGCTTCGAGTGCAAGTAATGGATCACACTGGCTTTATAAATTTGTTGCTTTGGGATCGTGAAGCAACAACTCTCATTGGGAAGTCTGCTAATCAGTTAAATGAAATTTCAATTGAGGTATATTTTATTTATTTGATTCAACCTCTATATATAGTTAAACATCTCTAAAAATACATATATGGACTATGGTGTGTGCTTATTGTCTACATTCACTGCGTTTGCTTCCTTTTTACTGATCAATCAATATCAGCACTCCAGAAATGTTGTTAGCATGGTCTGACATCAGTGCTCCACTTAAGAACTCCTTCACAAGTGCAACAACAAAAAAATAAAATAGCAGGAGAAGAAGAAGAAGAGTCTATTGGTGTTAGAACAGTTAGTCTTCAGCCATCAGTTGTTAGTGCTATCACAATTTGCAATTATGAAAAAGGGCAAGGACTAAATGAAGGAACAGAGTGCTCTGTTTGCTTGACTCAGTTTCAAGACTATGAAACTCTTAGGATTTTGCCCAAGTGCAATCATACTTATCATTTGTACATTTAAAAAATTAATATTGTGTCTGCTGCACCATCTTTAGTTCTCTCAATAGACTATATGTATATATCCCGAGCATGTCTGATGCCTAGAGTCTTGCAAGGCAGGCATCCTAACGATCAATCTCTGGCATTGTCTCGGCCACTATATATATCCCCATGGAATCTGTGAATGCCTTATAATTCAGGACTTCACCAGACTTTGTTATGCAAAGAACAGCAACTTCAGCACCTGCAACATGGAAATAACATCACCTTCAGAATTTTATATAACACTGAGAAAAAAGAACTGTTATCAATTGTAGATTTATTGGCAGCACAAACAATAGGATAAGATAGTCTTGCATCGCGTCTGAGTCAACATCACCAGTACACGCGATCATATTAATCAGCAGAAATAGTGAAGCTAATAACCACAAACTTTTAGAAGAAGCTAAAGCAACTAATGATTATTATTGAATGTACAGATGTTTCCTAGCTGGTGTATTACGTTACTTTAGCTGTGCTGAATACTACATTTCTGCATTCAGGAAGGATGGTAATGGACCAAGGAGGCAAATTATAGTGCATTTTGTTGAACATTACTCTTGCAGCAGATTTCCAGTCATTGTTTGACAGGAAAGAATCACAATCCCCTGTCTCTGAAGAGCACACGAATGCCTACAGTAACAGCAAATATTTAATGTGAAAATGCTGATAATAAACCACGACAAAAAGATTAATGACACCAATGCAGAATTTTATACCCGTTGAAGGTTTCCTAATGATGTCATTGCTGCATCTGCAGAAACTAAGGATTTCTCGCACATCTTGATAGCTTTATGAAGCTCTTTGCGTCAATATTTTGGTTGTCTTATTAGACCTGTCACAAAAAAAATGCATCGAAGAGTTATTTTCTCTTTCAGTTAAGTGAATGTGCCAAATGACACAAGTCAAATATTATTTGCAACATAATAAAATGACACTCACAATTATTTGTTGCAAATTTCTTTCAGCACACACAAACTGAAGAAAGGAAGACGCATGAAAATCCTTATAGCATGGGATATCAGCAAAGTAAAATCAGTTCATCAATCAATTTACAATATTAGATAACATTTAACTTCCTGTTAATATTATTTATAGTCACATGGGATATCAGCAAAGTAAAATCGTTTCATCAATCAATTTACAATATCAGATAAAATTTAACTTCTACTGTGTCTGCTATTAGATTAGTTAAACCTGTTTTAACTAATAACATGCTAGGTTTGCCATTAATACACATGCTACAATAGCACTTCTATTGTTCTACATCGCTTCCCTAATGACAGATGGCAACACATAAATATGGTCGCTTAAATGGTTATTTCCAAAGTATGAGATAACATACGCGCTGAAATCTGCAGATGCAGATGCAGCACGGAGAGCATGTTTATCCAGACAACAACTCCACACAGCTCCTTTATGCCCTTCAAATGTTCCAATCCAATCTCCAGTTTCTCCATTTCTCGACATTGGTGTAGAATCTACATGACCGGAAGATTTCATAAGGTAAAACAAATAATAACGCCACGAATATTACATCAGTGAATGAACATATATTAGAAGAAAGAGCAACAGGAAAAAATCTTTTTCGGTTAGACTGTAACACTCAAGAATAACTCAAGAATAACCGTTTTGGAAGAAGGATATGCTTCCAAGACAAGGATACAATCGAAACTGGAGACGCAGAAGGATTACAGTAACACATACAAGATTATGTTCTATATTGTATTTTTGGAGTATTACCGTAAAAATCAAGTCAAAATAAACAACACTTAAAGGATGGCATTAATTCAAACTATCTATCGCATACACTACTGCTAACATGCAATTCCGGCATTCAACCTGATATATTATACTCCCTCCATTATATAGCTTCGTTTGACAGGGAAGAAAAATTTAAGAAAAATAAGAAACCTTTGAAAATACATTTCACAAAATCACTGGAATGCAGAATAAAACGACTAAGTAAAACTTCTGCGGAGTTTCATTGAGATGAAATTTAGCCAAAATAAGGGGATATTCTGGACAGTAGCCTGAATGCTAACAACAGAATCATGATATTAGGTACCGCAAAACAAGCTTTACCAGTATTTATGTAATTGTAGCCTGTACCTTAGAACCAAATATCAGTTGCAACCTCAAGGTAAAGGAACCATTTTATTCAAGCAGTTTCAACTATGTCACAGTACTAAAATACGAAAAATCCTTTATGATTGGAATAAGCTTTAACTAAATATCATTCAATAAATGAGCAACACAGGATTTAGTCTGGGGTTGTTAGTAAACAGAATCTACATTAAACACAAGTTGTCTAAATTAGTTGGAAATCAAGAATGATGTACATTACAGAAGAAGTGCATCAGATAGCAAAATTCATTGAAATACCAAATTCACCATCCATCAATTAGATTATTAATATGTAGATAGAACAATGTATAAAATGTACCAGCAGAACACTTAGAAACTATTCCCAAATAAAAATGTTACTAATAAGAGTTGCTTCACTACAATCTCAAGGTACATTTCCAGTACTCTCCCTTGAAATGTATGGTCATATTATTGGTATCTGCATGTTGAATAACCTGTAAGTTCATGACCCATCAAACAATCACCTTCATGTTATTTTCAGCATGTATGGAATAAACCTGTTGTAAGTTCATGTAACTACCACCTTCAGCATTTATGCATGTTGAGATTGGCAATGTCATCCTCTGGTCGTTATGCAATACTACACAGCAGCTTCACCTTCAGCTTGCCGTGGTTCATTATCAGCAATTTATCATTGAATATTTGCTGTCATATAGTCGGATTGCCACAGAAGTATTGAGTTGAAAAGAACTTCTTTGTGCTGTCATATCCAATACCACAAAAGATATGGAATTGTGATTGCAAACTATGGGTTAAGCAGACCTTATTTTTGTAACAGTAACATTCCTCCACAAAGCCCCAACTTCCATATTGAGTTGTGCAAGAGTAAAGATTGATTCCTAAGTTCCTTGACTCCTACTATATGAAAACAGGAACAGGATTGGACTTGCACATATCTGCAAATAAATAAACTTTACAAGAAAAAATGCACGGCTAGGGGTCAAGGGTGTGGCAATGTAAGGCCTGGTCCTGTGTATCTAATCCTCAACTTAGCATTAGAACAAAGTGTGTTCATGTCAAGATCAGAATGTGCGAATCTTATTTTAAGTACTGCCATTGAAACTTAACACATACGAGAGACAAGTTTTTCCTGAATACCACAACTTCAGCATTAGACAAAAATAGGCATCCACTTGACTCCTATTCCCCCGTAAAAAAATGATTTTTCCTCTATTGCATCTTAATCTAATGGATGGCAGTTAGCATTGGGCATCATATCTGAGCATTTCCTTACTTTAGCCTTAGATTGTCCAATATGTTAGCATTGGGCATCATATCCAGCGCTCTTTTAGCAGTTGCATAATGCTGCTTTGAATTTTCTTTGAATGTTTTTTCACAGTGATGCTGCTGCAAATGAGAGTAAAAAGCCAGCACTAGCAGCAGTTGATGGTGTTTTTCTGTCAATTTGCTCCATATGTTATCTGCATTTTGTGATGAGCTAATTTTTTATGGAAAGGGTGCAGTGGCTATTTCTTAAAACATGAAGAAATTGAGTCCTTTTCCTTAGATTATCTACCCATAATTCTTCTCCAAAATAGAATAACGCAAGGCATCTGCCTTTCCCGATTTGCTGTGTTGTATATTGTTTGAAAGAAGTTTCAGTTACATTAACGCTATTTAATTCCAATTTTCCAAGCAAATCTTGGAAGAACATAATAAAAAGTTACTGGATATAACAGCTGATCAAAGACCCTCAACATGTATACTTCATAAATTTCATAAAAATAATTAAGAACCTTTTCTTAATAATCTGATCCAATTTGAAGAATTTGTTGCTTTCTACTATGTGCAGAGTATTCCTTGCTATGATAAGTTTAGTTAAAATAAATCGCGCATCGTGCGGGTACTATACTAGTTATTCAATAAATAACGACTTTGCTGAAGATCGTTAGTCAAGTAACTCACATGTCATACTGGAATTTAGCTTCCCGTGGCCCGTATGCAGAATTATTTACGTCTTTTTCTATATTTTTAAACCCTCCTAAATTAATGTGACTTTTTTACGTCTCTTCAGTTGTCTTGTTGTGTTAAAAATTACCGCAAGTCTCTGTCTAATAGCTGCCACCTGCCTGACACCATATTATTTGGGATATCTACTGATATTATTCAGGGCGAAGCCACTATTAGTAATTTTGGCTCAAATATGTACAAATAATCTATTTAGAATCCAATAAGTAAAAAAAAATTATTATTCAAATTTAATTCATAAATTAAAAATTCTAAATCTTCATCTATTTTTATATGCCATGTACATTCAACATTCTTTTTAAGATTATGCGTAAAACTTCTCTATATTTTTTGTAATAATCTCTCAAACTCTTCATAAAATTATGTAAAATACGAGAATTATGGCTTAGTGTAAGATTTAAAAGGAAAAACAAGAAGAAGGAAGATCTAAGGGAAGATATGAGGAACAGAAACCTAAA